AGAATGTCTTAAAATATGAGTGCGGCACAGAAGGTGTTGCCATAAAAAAAAAAATCAAATTCGAGCAAATAAGAAGAAATCAGCAAAGAAGCATTTCAAACATAGAGAGACTAAGAGAAAATATTGGATTCAATAAATTCTGTCTTCAGACTGGTGTTCACCACCTACTTGTCTTATAAGAACTTAAAAGTTGGGAATTTTGTTTTTTTCTTTTCATGTATCTATCCTTCACTAAATCAATAAACAATCTGTTGTTAGACAAAAAAATAAGATACCTCGTAGTTAGCTTGCTCCTGCTGCTGAACACCGAACACATCTCCATACAGTGGACGGCCATACTATTCATAAAAACGGAGAACTATGGTAAGATTTAGAAGACAGACCTTAACCTGAAGATAGAATACGACAGTCAAATACTTACTTCATCGACGGGAGGCTTTCCCCAGCCACCAGGATGGTAACCAAAGCTAGCTCCAGGTGGAATGGGCGCATTGAGTCCTGGAATTTTTAGATCTGGGTAGGATGGTGGAGGACCGTATCTCTATGAAAGGAAAATATAATTTATAAGATCGCGAATAAACAGCTTTAAGAAAACAGGAGATCAGATTTGAGTTTGACGATAAATTTAACTGTCCAACCTGCATGTTAATGAGCCATGGGGGAGGAGCGCCCTCTGGCATACCAAGTGCTTCTTTCAGTTCTTGTGATAGCATGCCGGGTTTCATCTCCCTTAACTTAACCTGTACGCCGAGGAACAAATAAGTGAGGAAGGAAGAAATCCCTGTTAGGATTAACTACTCAATATCTGTACAAGCAAAAGTCTCCATATACAAATAGTTACTTCTGTACCAGCTTCTTCTTTATAAACTTAAACTGCACATTGGCCCGAACAATATCTTAATGCATGAAAAACACCCAGATGCACTGGTCCTAGAAACCAAAGAGCATCGTGGATAAATAATAGTAACAACCCAATACCTCGAATTCTTTCCCTTCATAGTATAGATCTCCAAGTGTTGTCAGCTTTGGCTTCGTTTGGTACTTAAAAAAAGCATCATGAAGAACCTAATGCACAAGAGCCAATTCAATAACTTAGAATGTTCACGTTCTGGACACAACAACACAGACACCTAGCAGCAGAACACGAGTATTGAAATATACATCAAATCAAAATCAGAAGGCAGTAAAGACCTGATAATCAATATCCATTTTTCCCATCTTTGGCTGCATTCGTTCTCTTTGCTTTTGCTTCAACTTCTTACTATCCTCTTTTTCTATGTAGGCCTGCATAACAAATATAATAGAGAATTGGCAGTGTCAGACATCACATTGGGTCTAACATGAGTATAGAAATATATTGAGACTGACTACAAGATTTTGCCAGCATAACAAGAACTAGAAATTGTAGTGAAAGCAACCTGTCTAATCTTCTCAATTCCTGTTGCTGCAATAAAATCTGGAAGTTGGAATGGCTGTTTTTCAATACCACGCTTCCCCTACAAAATAAATCCAACTACCAATAAGATGCAATCTAAACTAAGATATTATTTCATCACTAGAATTATAGAATGCAGGGTCACTAATAACAGAAAGGCATCTAAAACTTCAAAGCAGACTGATTATTGATTTGATGTAGATATATATATATATAAGAAAAAGAATCATGCAATACACAAGTAAATCCGCCCATCAATGCAACATAAAAATGTTCACATCCCAACCCACACCACCAAATATACTAAAACAGAAATAATACAAGGGTGCTCTTAGCAAACACCTACAAGTTCCGGCTCCAACAGTGTCACAGCCACACCCCTGCAAGAACCAGATATGTATACATAAGAGAAACCTTATCAACACGATCTTCCCTCACTCAACTCTCTCATTTCCCTCGTGTTTAACATACCCATCAATTGTACATAGATGTATATTCTGTAAATTTAATATTAGCAGAATTACTGACCTGTAAAAATTTCCTTTTCTGACACCAATGCCTTGGCACAGGAACTGTGTTGCGATAAGATTTTAGATAAACAAGTAACTTGGGATCAGCTGCAGTTGCATCCCAGATCTGAACGGTAAATAAAATGTCATAACTAGAAAATGCAGCCAGACACTCTGGTATCAGGTTTTTATGATGATTTTTTAAGGTAAAAGATAAGTGCAATGCAATATAAAGTGCTCCATTTCTACCTCAACAACATCAGGTCTCAAACAAATCTGCTTCAGTTCTGCAATCTTCATACGCCGTTGCAACTGAAAATTACAAAAACAATTTACTTTCAGATTGTTGTGGCAAGTAGTAACCAATGCGGTTCTTTATATGTAAAAGATAATAGCAAGGCAATATACCTTCTTTTTCTTGTTTGATAAGCCTCCTTTTTCCTTTTGCTGGATATCAAGTTCTTCATCATCAGAATCTGAGTCCGACTTCTTAGATGCTGCATTTTGGGCAGACTCATCTTTGTTTTCATTCTCCTATGTTTATCAACCAGAAAGTTCAGAGGATTGGACGATGACAGAAGAAATTGAATTGATAACTAAAACTATTCTGGCAAGCTTATACTTACCTCAGCACCAGCTACATCACTGAAATTGAATTTCTCAAAAACTCTTCTAAATTCCTCGTCCAAGCTATCATCTAATTCAGCCTTCTCAGGTATATATTCAATTTCTACTTTCTCAACAACCTATAATTTCAAAAGCAAACAAATGCGTTATGAATGGTTAGTTAACATTAAAAAAATCATTTAACTATATGAAACGAAGGAAGGATTTGTACTCTGACATGGGATTTGTGAGGTGAGAAGAATAATAAAATCTTCAGAGTAATCAAAAAATTCTATAGTGATGTTTGGACCATTATCAGGTTCTATGTTTCCTTTTTGGCATCGGTTTCTAAGGTCTTTTGCAACTATTCGTTTGGTTTCATTTTACTTTATTGGAACCCTTTTCTTTTGATCGAGTTCATTTTGTGGGCTTTGTTTTCTTTATACCCTTGTATTTTTTCATATTTTTCTCGAATGAAAATTAAGTTTCTTATAAAAAAAAATGAAGCAAAGAAGAAGAAGAGGGAATAGACCCATGCATGTGGTTGAACAAATGCCAACAATCAAAATTAAGTTAAATTAATTGTTCTTAAACAAATTCCAGGCAGAAATATCAACTAAAATCCCCTTCTAATGGTTGAAAATGATAGATTTCTTGGTGTTACTTGCTTACTAACTCACAGAGGGTATCATCTTAAGTTCAGCTTAAATCCCCTTCTAATGGTTGAAAATGATAGATTTCTTAGACATCAAGCTCCTTCCCACATGACAACCCACACATTCTACCTATCTAGTTCAATCTTCGTACCGAAAACTACTGTTAGCCAACAACACCGAAGCATTGAGAAAATGTATCCCTAAAACCACAAACCGACGAACATGTCCTCAACGTAAAATAAAAATAAAAATAAAAAACCAAAAACCTGGAGTAGATCATCGTTCTCCTTTGTGTCATCGCCAGAAGCATCACTATCCTCTCCAGCAGCAGCCTCCTGGTTCTTCTTCTGGTTCTTCTTCTTTCGCCGACGACGACGTCGTTCACTTTCCCGCGATTTCTTGGCGGCGCCAGATTTAGGGTTAAAATTAAGGTCCAAGCCACCACCATTCACGACAACTCCATTCGGCTGAGAAATCACCTCCGCCGTCATGTTGGGATTCAAGCTTCCCACAAATCAATCAGAAACCAAACCGCGGACACGACTATGAGAACGAAGAACAGAAGAAGAGAAGAAGAAGAAAGGGATTCCCGAAATTATGTCAAATACTTACTTAAATATCCTATTTTTAAAATGCTTTTATTTTACAAAAATAAAGCTCAAATTTGTATTTTCCACATTTAATAATACAACTTTTTTTAAAAAAAAAATAGTAATTTATTTTAAAATATTCCTAAATTAGCTTAAAAAATTTTAAAATTTTAAAAAATTGCATTAATACATCTAATTTTTTAAAAGAATTAAAAAAAAATTATACTACTTTAAATAAACTCGAGGAGTTATCTCATTTATAAACGCGTAGAAACCTCTCTATTCGAAAGTTTATTAAAACAAAATTGTGAGGCTAACGGCGATACATAACAAGTGACGAACTTAGGCTGTTACAAATGGTGATATCGGAGAGAGGAACGAATCCTTATAAGAGTGAGGAAACCTCTCCCTAGTAGTCGCGTTTCAAAACATTGAGAGGAAGCTCGTAAGGACAAACATAAAAGAAGACAAACAATATTTGCTAGCAGTGGAGAGAGGGAACGAATCCTTATAAGAGTGAGGAAACCTCTCCCTAGTAGTCGCGTTTCAAAACATTGAGGGGAAGCCCGTAAGGACAAACATAAAAGAAGACAAACAATATTTGCTAGCAGTGGGCTTAGGCGGTTACAATAATTCCTCTCGAAAACCAATATTTTAAGTGCAAGTACTCCGTACAACTTATGCTTTTGTGTACAAATCATTGTAGACTAAGTGCACACGAACACCTTCAATAATCAGTCTATTTCTAACCAATCAGTGGGATCAAAAAGTTTGGTATATGTTTTATGTTTCTTCCATCAATGATTCCGATTCAGCTTGTGGCTATTGACAAAATAGGATCTCTCAGTTCCTATTTTTTATGTACACATTTCACTCTCTTAGTGACAGATTTGATAATAATGGGATGCTTTGTGGTGTCGATGGCCCGAAATAGACCGATGAATAATGTATACACCTCGGATCCCTACCCGTTGTCCTAATATAACTATTATTTTGTGAGTTAAATAAAAAAAAATTATTGATCCAAATTTTAAAGATACTTTTATTTTATTTTTTAAAGAAAAATATTTACGATATAAAAGTTTTTTTTTATATATATACTTTTTTTTCCTGCCATAATCGTAAATAAATTAATATGAATTTTAAATTAATTATAAATAATGTTTATATTCATTATTTTATTGTGAACACTTGTCTGGCTCAGTCTAGAGCCAGGCAAGTGTTCGTTCCTAGGAATTTGCTCGGTCTAGAGCCCAGGCACACATTGTTCCTAGGAATTTGCTCGGTCTAGAGCCAGGCAAGTGTTCGTTCCTAGGAATTTGCTCGGTCTAGAGCCCGGCAGTGTTCCTAGGAATTTGCTCGGTCTAGAGCCAGGAAGTGTTCCTAGGAATTTGCTCGGTCTAGAGCCAGGAAGTGTTCGTTCCTAGGAATTTGCTCGGTCTAGAGCCCAGGCAGTGTTCCTAGGAATTTGCTCGGTCTAGAGCCCGGCAGTGTTCCTAGGAATTTGCTCGATCTAGAGCCAGGAAGTGTTCCTAGGAATTTGCTCGATCTAGAGCCAGGCAGTGTTCCTAGAAATTTGCTCGGTCTAGAGCCAGGTAGTGTTCCTAGGAATTTGCTCGGTCTAGAGCCAGGCAGTGTTCCTAGGAATTTGCTCGGTCGGAGCCAAGCAGTATTCCTAGGAATTGCTCGGCCTCTCGCCAAGCATTCCTAGGTCGATCTAAAGCCACAGTAAGTATTCCTAGGTCGGTCTAGAGCCAAGCAGTATTCTTAGTATTCCTATGTCCGTCTAGAGCCAAGCAGTATTCTTATTTTTCCTAGGTCGGTCTAGAGCCAAGCAGTATTCTTAGTATTCCTAGGTCAGTCTAGAGCCAAGTAGTATTCCTAGCCAGGTAGTGTTCCTAGGAATTGCTCGGTCTAGAGCCAGCAGTGTTCCCTAGGAATTGCTCGGTCTAGAGCCAAGCAACGTTCTTCCTAGTATTCCTAGGTCGGTGGTAGGTCTAGAGCCAAGAGTATTCTTAGTATTCCTAGGTCGGTCTAGAGCCAAGTAGTATTCCTAGTATTCCTAGGGTCGGAATAGAGCCAAGTAGTTATCATGCCAAGTTTTCCTAGGTCTTCTATTGCCAAGTTTCCTAGGAATTGCTATCTAGAGACGAGCAAGCTTTCCTAGGATGCTCATTAGATAAATCTAACAATCAACAGGCACATGTCAGTTGGAAATGCAGATAAAGGTATGAAAGGGTGGTGTGGGTGGTGTCACAGGACATCCCCACGCCTCACCATGCACCTAAAAGCATGATCACTTGTTTAGAAGTTAAGAACTGCTAAAAGTCCTACAATAATCTTCTGATCATGTGTGCTAGTTTGTTATATAAGAATGTTACCCGAGATACGACTTCCATGGCCAAATTTCTGGCGGGTCAAGCCATATGAATGAAGATCACCTAAAAAAGTCCACAAGCACCAAAACAAAAGAGGGAACAAATGATAAATGAAGAACAGGGTGCCTACCAAATGTCAACCTACCTTTAGAGAAAAGAAGATGAGATCTTTGTCCCTAATAAAAGTTCATTTTCTCTCCTTCTCCCTCCTCCGTCTCTCACGATCACTCTTGCCGGCATTTGTTATTTGTATTAATTACTCGTTTGACAAAGTAATGACGGACTTAAATGAGCATAAGTCATACCGGATTCCCTCGACTGACTCAATGGTTTCCCTACCCAAGGTTATATATGCTAAGCCGTTGTTATCTCTCTCTTGCTTGCTTATATAACGTCTCTTTCAAAAATCTCTCTTTCTAAAATCTCTCTCTACCCTCGTTTTCCAAAACCTTCTTTTAAAACCGAGGCTGCGATAGAAGAATCGATCTCACGTGAATTAAAAAAATATCCTCATCACTTGCACCCATGAGACTGCAGTTATAAAGAAATAACACAAGGATGGAATGGAAGTCTACGTTTCAACTGTTCTGCTCTCATACCTGGCAGAGATAGAAGGCAGAGGTTGGTGGTTATCTGCACTTCACCAACAAATATGTAGCCGCCTGTGACGAACGGCTTTAACAACTATCCACAGTAAAACAGCCTGCAGAGAAAGTAAAGTCAAAACAAGTAATGTGGTCTACAATTTTCAATAGTCACAGATCATCTTTATAAAACAAAACATCACAGTGAAATAACCCACTAAGAAAAGCAGTTCTACTCGTTATTTTATTTTAGCAGACTATATAACTTGAATGCATCTTCAAACTCATTACAAGGAACACTTCAACAAAGTAGGGTATGTTGCAAGTGCTCCATCCTCACTATGTGATCCTGGCAACCCCTGCATTGTTATAACTCAACACATGAGAAAAAACAGATAAAAATTGCTAGATATATTGGTGGGTTACTAAAAGATAACACTGATTGGAGACTAGAAAAATATTTGATAAACAAAGTCGTAAAAAAGAGAAGGAAGAAAGGAATAGATTCAAGAATGTGACTCATACCTTCATAATCGGGTATGTCTCATCATGTAATCTGGCATGAATGAATAGATTCAATAAAGGAACTCGGTCACTGTCCTCTCCGCCTGAAGCTTCATATCCATTAATAGTCGACCTTGACAGTGGAAGTCCCTTTTGAGCCAGCGAGTCTCTTAGACTCTTCAGCTCCTGAGGAGGATATTCTGATCGTATGGATGTCAAGCGAGCCCAAACTGCTCTCCGGACAAGAGGGGCTTGTTTGGAAAGCACTGCATGCTTCAAACTGAAGAGGACCAAGGCTGGTTGAAGTGCCAGAGAAACCTTTTTCAACAGCTTTTCCTGGAATATTTGCCAAGCGTTGCATAGGTAGATCAGATATGGAAGTCGCACCCGCTTATTCCCTCGCCTTCTATTATCTTCAGGTACCTACCTCCCCCCATGGCTCCTCTGTGTTGAGGAAACCAAACTCAAACATAACGTAATTGGTAAAAAAAGAGATTCGAGGGTTTTCAAATTTACTAACTGCTCCCTTAGCGAGCTTCACCATGGTGACATGCTTGGTAACTGACTCAATCAAGAACATACCAGATTATAGTATCCCATGATTGGTTGTAAATCACTCCGTTAAATTTCTGAGTTTGAAATTGAGGGAAAGGTTGAAGAATTCACCAGATTACGGTATCCGAGCAACATTGTCGACAATGAAAGAGTTGATGATGGGCTGTTATCAAGGGATTGTGGTTTTCGGCTTGCTGAAGGTTTCTCGCCATGAATATGCTCTGCCCTCAGTGGTAGTTTGTTCTGATTCCGAGGGGGCATGTGGTCTTATTTATAGACTTTTTTGAGTCCCCCTCCCATTCCATTCCATTCCGATGTGGGATTTAGGATTCCAACTTTTATTTTTATTTTCCTTTTCCATCAATTATTTTCAACGGCTAGTTGGACCTCTTCAACGGCTAGTCGGACCTCTTCAACGGCTAGTTCGACATGTATGACTAAATAAGACTCTGGGCTTGGTCTACGTCATCGGTAAGTTCCGACCAAACATCCGCCGTGGTCACTGTTTCCTTACAATGCTCTTCAACGGAGCTATTATCCGACTAGTTTTCCGGCAATGGAGGCCCTAAAAATTGGAACCCTTTATTGCCCCGTCTTGATCTTTTCCATTGTTCGGGTTTTAAGCAAATCCCCCACTTTTCGTAACCCTCTAACGCATCGTGCAAGATCGTTAGGATTCGAATAGTAATTGAATAGAACAATTGAGATGTTCTTAATGTCTTTCGAGGGAGGAATTAAGGTGAAGTGAACCTTTTGAAAGCATGTTCGAGAATTTCCCGATAACAACACGAATCAACTCAACCCAAAAAAATAAATGACCCGAACCCTTGTTAAAATAATAAGCTCAACCAATCCAACCATAAATTTAAGACCCAAACAATTGGGTTGAATCTAAAAGATAATTCCGACTCAACCCACTCTATGAGACACGGATTTTTCGAGTTTTATTTCGAAGGAAAATAAATAAATAAATGTTATATGGACTAACATTTTACTTTTACTCAAAACAAAATTTTGAATAAATAATCCGAACAACACGAATTAACTCAACCCAAAAAAATAAATGGCCCGAACTCTTGTTAAAATAATAAACTCAACCAATCCAACTATAAATTTACGACCATAGCAATTGAGTTGAATCTAAAAGATAATTCCCGACTCAACTCAATCTATAAGAATATACCCATCTAGATTTCGTGGATGTATCGAGCTTTATTTCGAATTAAAATTCCAAAATTTTTCTAATAAAAGGCTAAATTATTGACAAAACAAGATGGCATTGTTCATCAACAGTGCAAATAGGAGAAGAAAAAATTTTATTAAAAAAATAATAATTATTTACTTACTTTTCTAATTTATTTTTGCATCCAAAAACTGCCTCTCACTTTCTCTACAAAATCAAAATATGAGATGAGACAATTTATAAATCAAGGCCATACATACACAATGTTCTAATAAGAAAACATACTAAACCTCAGCAGAATTTGATGCCAAAGCCATGTCCAATCTTTCCAAAAATGGAGTAGAATTCCAATTGACTCTCTCGTCCTGAAACCACGAACAAATGAACTTTTAATCGTGTAACGATATTATTTTCGTTGGGCTTTCCCTTTCGAGTTTCCCCTTAAGACTTTAAAACGTGTCTGCTAGGAGAAGGTTTCCACACCCTTATAAAGTGTGTTTTGTTCTCCTCCCAACCAATGTGAGACATCACAAATCGAGTTTATGTTTTAATCAGTTGAGTTATGTTCAGATTAACGAGACGAATGAGTTAATATCACAACTTGAAGATGTACCTCTCTGCTTTTCCTCGGTCCCTTGCACAAAGAGCCCGGATTGGAATCTGCATCTTGTCCTGTATGACTCCAGTAACTCCCAACGGTGCCTATGATAGGCGTCTCCTCAGGACTCCGACTCCTCAATCGCCTTGGAGTTGAGAATGCCGAGAACTGTCTAAGCTCGACATCCTGTTTTGTAGGACTCCAGTAACTCCCAACAGTGCCTATGATGGGCGTTTCCTCGGGACTCCGACTCCTCGATCGCCTCGGAGTTGAGAATGCAGAGAACTGTCTAATTTCTTCTAATGTCAATGCTCCTAAAATTGGCCTATCTTCATTACTTTTAGCTGAATTTCTTGTCCACATAGGTGAGTTTCCAATGGAGGAGCTAGTACTATTGGATTTTGGTGTGGTTTCAGATTCAACCAACCAGTTCGAAAGGCTGGTGTCGACCGCAATCTCGTCCTCGACGTGCTTATCGCTACAATTTTCTTTCAACTTCCGCATTGCCCGAAAAGTAGGCTCTGGACTGATGAGCAGCACATCACAGCCTTTATCTAAACTGATATTCTCCTTTTCTAAATGATGATCTGATGGCAGTGCTTTCACTTTTGCAGCACTCAAACAATGAGTAGTAACATTCTCAATTGGGTTAAGAACAGAACCGACATCAGTTTTCTTGTCCGATGAAGCGTTTTCGGGTTGCTGACTCAAACAACGAGTAACATTCTCGACATCAGTTTTCTTGTTTGGTGAAGCGTTTTCGGGTTGATGGCTCAAACAATGAGTAACATTCTCAATTGGGTTAAGAACAGAACCAACAACATTCTCGTTCCAACGTCCCATATTCTTCTCCGATGAAGCGTTGGCTGGTGTATGGCTCAAACAATGAGTAACATTCTCAATTGGGTTAAGAACAGAACCGACAACATTCTCGTTCCGACGACCCGTATTCTTCTTCGATGAAGCGTTGTCGGGTTGATGGCTCAAACAACGAGTATCATTTTCAATTGGATTAAGAACAGAACCAACAACATTCTCGTTCCAACATCCCGTTTTCTTCTCCGACGAAGCGTTATTGGGTTGATGGCTCAAACAACGAGTATCATTCTCTATAGGCTTAAGAACAGAACCAACAACATTCTTGTTCCAACATCCCGTTTTCTTCTCCGATGAAGCGTTTTCCTGTTGATGGCTTAGATCAAGACTACTAACCTCATTTTCTGCATCTTCAACTCCACAAACCTGTTTCCTTGAACCAAATGACAAAGAAAAGAGAGACTCCGAAGATTCCTGCTCCATCAATAACATACTTTCTCCATGCCCATCATCAGCATTGGTATCATCTTTTCTTTTTTCTTCTTCTTTTTCATCTAAATGATCCATTTCTTCTGCATATTCATCATTATCATCACTGTTTGAGCAATTTTCATACCTATGATTCAGAGATAAAGTAAACGCTTGTGATAAATTCGAGCTTCCCCAAGATTCATCTTCTTCTTTTCCACTCTTCTTCTCGTCTTTAATCTCATCCAATTTGCTTTCATTTTCCTTAGAGGGAACCACTTTATTATCCTCAATAATTGGTTCAGAAGCTTTTTCAGTTGCATGACACAACTCTATCTGTTCTTCAAGCTTCTCTCTGTGCAGTAAAGAACAGTAAAATTAACCAGAAACTTCCAGTAAACAGCTAGAGCTACATCAGATCCACACCCCAAAAACTGAGCTCGAAGAACAAGAACAACACTCAGTTCGTAATCCTGTGTGGTTGCTCAGGATTTTGAGTGATTTCAAGCTCTTTTAGATGTTTGCATGTTAAAGAGAATGATCTAAATCATGTTCTTACGTTAAAAAAAGAAATTCCTAGCCAAAAAGATTGAATTATGCCCGATTTCATTGAATTTTGAGCTAAATTACTAATTTAACGTTACTAATTCAGTTTGATCACATTCAAACAAGATGAACTTTAAATCATTTCTAAAATTTTCTTGATTCCAAGCGAAACTCAAAGAACAAGAAGAACACTCAGTTCTTAATCCTGTGTAAGCTCAGGATTTTGAGTGATTACAAACTCTTTAGTTGTTTGCATGTTAAAGAGAATGATTTAAATCATGTTCTTACGTTTTGAAAAACAAAAAAATCCTAGCCAAAAAGATTGGATTATGCCCGATTTCATTGATTTTTGAGCTACATTACTAATTTAACGTTACTAATTCAGTTTGATCACATTCAAACAAGATAAAGAATTTTAAATCATTTCTTAAATTTTCATGATTCCAAACGAAACTCAAAGAACAAGATGAACACTCAAGTTCTCGCGGATGATGAATCTGAAAATCCAGAAACTAAACTTGAAGAGCAAGTAAAACACTCAAATTATCACAGATGATCAAACTGAAAATCCTCAGTGAACCTAAACTCGAAGAACAAATAGAGATTCGATAACGAAACTAAACAGAGAACAATCAAAATTCAATAAACCCTAAAAAAAAAAACTCCCAAGGACTTACAGAGAATCCTTAATTAGGTCAATCGGCGGCACTTCAGCCACTTCCTTCGTTTTCTCCAACGCACAAACACCATCAGAAGCTTTAAAAACCTACAAAAACAAAACAACCGAAGACAAAATCCACCGATCATTCAAGAAAAAGAACAAAAACTCAGAAAATTCGATGAGATCAAAAGGATTTACATGATTTGAAGAAGGAATCTCAACGGAGGACTTTCTGGGTTGTTTTCGGCGCTTGCAATCGCCAAAACAAGCAAGAAAGCAGCCCATGATTGATGGAGGGCGGCGGAAAGTGGAGAATCAAAGAGAAAAGTGGAAGAGGAAGAAGAAAGAGAGGGGGCTTCGATTAAATGCGAGTGAGGTTTGGGTTTAAAAGAACAGGAAACAAACGGCCATTGATGATTTTGGTGAATCTCTGTGGAGAAATATGACCGTTGGGAGTGTTGGAAAAGTGCTTTTCGGGGAGGCTTTTTTGGCTTCATTCACTGACCAAGTACTTTCCAAAGAAGCGCTGCTTACGTGGACGCTGAAACTAATTAATATTTTTTTTTTTTAATTCCAAAGTTTTTAGGTGAATATACATATATATATATATATATATATATATATATATATATTGTTACATGTCATAGTCATACTTTTTCTACACTGCGACGTTGTAATCTTTGTTGAATGATGAAAGTCTCGCATCGGCTAATTTAGAAAATGATTATATATTTATAAATAAGAAATACTAACTCCATTCCATTGCTATGAGGTCTTTTGGGGAAGCCCAAAGTAAAGTCATGAGAGTTTATGTTCAAAGTGGACAATATCATATCATTGTGGAGAGTCGTGTTCATCTAACAATCTTGACACTCTCACAACAAGTTTTAAGGAAAACTCAAGCTCTATATATACTTTTCGTCGGTCTTTGTAGCTTCATCAGACCTTAGATGAGGAACATCACTTGTGCGGAATGCAACCTTGTTTGGCCACACACGCCGCCTCCACATGTCATCAAGAACGAACCCACATGTCGTTCATAAAATTGAGACGTCACGTCACGAACATCCATCCATTCAAATTCTATTAGAACGACACGTAGTTCACTCAACTATATATATTAAACAATTTTTATATAATAAATACTAAATTAATAAAAATACTTTTAAACTTTACACTTCGCCACAAAAATACTCTACTTTCACAAGTTTTAATAATACTCTTAAATTTAAAAAAAAAAAAATCAAAAATTTCATGAATATTTTTTAAACATATTTTAAAATTTAAAAGATATTAATAAAAAAATTTAAAATATAATAAAAAATTCAATGATATTTTTTCTATATAAAACTAACATTAAGACATTTTTTACTTTTTTTAAATTTTTTTTTAATGTTTAAAGGTATATTTTTGTTAATTCAAAAATCTTAAATATATTATTTTCTAAAATTTTACTATAATATAAACCCCATAAATGTATATTAATAACAAAACTGGAATTGACTTTGTGATGGGCCTGAGATTTTGTTCCTTTCTTGAACCAAATTTGGGCTTTTGGGCCCATAGAAACTAGTTGGGCTTTTAGGCCCAGAGAAACTAGGCTTATTCCTAGCCTAACTAACATCTTTTAATTTATTTTTTTTTTTTTTAAATTCAAACATACACTTACCTTTAATATTATATTTAAAAAATAATTTTGTATTAACATCCTTTACCTTTATAAAAAAAAAAGTTTAAAAAATTATTATCATCCGTATATGGACAAAAATCATCTACAGATATTTCATAGATCATCTCTAAACTTTTTAACGTCACTTTTGAAAGTTTATGAGTATTTTTTTAATCATGATACTAATAAATATTTTTTAAATTTTTTTTAAAAAAATTAAGAGTATTAACTAAACTTTTGAAGGTTTAAGGATATTTTAAAAGTATTTTTGAAATAAAATATTAATAATTTCTGTCCAAAACTAGTAGTGATATATTTATTTTTATTAATTTAATAAAAAAATAATAATAACAAAAATTTGTTATGAAATAAAAAATAAAAAGTCTATGTGTACATAGAGAAGTACTACCCAGCTAATTATTGTTAGACGAACATGACTCTCCACAATGATATGATATTGTCCACTTTGAGCATAAGCTCTCATGGCTTTGCTTTGGGCTTCCCCAAAAGGCCTCATACCAATGAAGAGTGTATTCTTAGATTATAAACCCATGACCATTCCCTAAATTAACCGATGTGGGACTTTCATCATCCAACACCTCCCCTCGAACAAAGCACGCCTCCCCTTAATCGAGGCTCGACTCCTTTGGAGTCTTAGTCATTTTTGACTGCCTTCGTACCCCTTAATCGAGGCTCGACTCCTTTGGAGTCTTAGTCATTTTTTACTGCCTTCGTACCTTCGAGGAGGCTTGACTTCTTTTGGAGTCCTTTGTTCGACATTTAAGGATTTGCCAATCTATTGGCACGGCTAAGTTTAGGGCATGACTCTGATACCATGTTAGGTTGAATGGCTCAATGACCTGACCTAGGGTCACGACTTCATGTATTTATGTGTATAATGAAGATTACATTCTAAATCATAGATTTGTTAACAAACTATGAAATCATAGATTTGGTAACAAAACTATGAAATCATATATTTGGTAACAAAAATATGATTTACTCTACGTTTAACAATTATATCTCGGAATGAAAGGAGAGCCCAATGCCAATTATTGTACGTGTATACATTTATAGACCCCGACACTGGAGTAACTTATTGTAATTTTAAATACTCAATGTTTTTCCAATATTTTCTCGACAAAGGCAACGGGTTCTTGAACGAGTGACAGTACAGTTGTAGAAGCCACGAAACGATGCATTACAATCAAACTTTCGCATGTAATAACGTTTTTACTTGTCTTAGTCAAGTACGTTACTTTGTTCGACTTTTGAATTCTGTCTCGAAGAGTCATTTGAATCTAAACTTTTGTTATTTTGACTTATTATCTGATCTCGCAAAAAATTGTAGATCTAACTATTTCCGTTTGAACTTATTTCAAAAGCCTACGTCAAAGTCAAATTGTCAAATTAAAATATTAAAAGTACGATTAAATATTTTAAAATCGAGAAATCATTGTAATTTAATTTTTTTAATATATGAAAATATAAAAAATTGTTGGCTCAAATTTCCAGGGCTAATAAGACAGTGAAAACCATATTAATGAATAAAGTAAAAATAAATAATAAGACAATTTATTGGGAGTTGTTCATTAATTTGGTTACAATAATAATTAATAAATTAATTAAAACACAATTTGCTTAATTATGATAACAATAATATTTGAATATAATATATTTAATTTTCTATTATCTTATAAATAAATTTTAAATTTGTTTACTTAATTAATAGGCTACATAAATAATTTAATAATTTATTATTATTATTATTATTATTATTATTCAGGCCCTCTTAAAAATAATTTTAAAGGTAAATTTTAAAATATATATTAAAATTAAATTGCAAATCTTAATTAAATATTTTGAAAATAAAATAATAGATGTTCGAGGTTGAATTAATAATCTGAACCATTCGAACTAATTCAACCGAACTCAAAAACTTTAAGAATGAGTTTAGTCGAGTTGGGTCTAAAAAATATCCCAACCCGACCTACGAACACTCCTAGTGTTTAATATTTGATTATAAATACAAATTTCTAAGTAGTGTTTTCAAAAATAAATTTAATTAGATACTTAAAATCGAATCGAGATAAAGAATATTTCAGAAAAAAACACTCCCCGATGGAAGCTATACTAAAACCATATTTAAAAAACTAGTGGGAATTGGACTTGGAAACGTCTCGAGACGCGTTAAACATGTTTAGTTCACTTTAGATACGTTTTTAGCCTCATATGAGCAATTCACTAACCGTGTAGATGTCCTTAGGTTTTGGGGCATTTCCATTTGACGTTTAACAATCAAAGGTAACATTGTACGTTATCATCGACATCTAAAATGGTTATGTGATACCTTCCCCTAACAGACACGTTTTAAAGCCTTGAGAGGAAGCCGAAAGAGAAAACCAAAAGAGAATAATATCTGCTAGCGGTGGATTTGGGTCGTTTCAAATGATATCTGAGCCAGTCACCGGACGATGTGTCAGTCTTCTCGCTGTTCCCCGAAGGGGGTAGACACGAGGCAGTGTGCCAGTAAGAACACTGGGTCCTGAACAGAGGTGGATTGTGATATCCCACATTGGTTGTGGAGGAGAACAAATCACGGGTGTGGAAACCTTCCCCTACCAGACGCGTTTTAAAGCCTTGAGGGGAAGTTGAAAACAAAGAAGACAATATCTGCTAACAGTGGACGTGGGACAATAGCAAAATATAATATTTCGAAACAAATGAATAAAGATTTAAATTAATTTAAATTATAATAAGTGTCGGAGCACGTGTTCAATTACAAGTGGACTGACATATAAAATATGAACTGTTATGTACACTATCGATAAGGATAAAATTGGAATAATAAAAAATGAATATATATTAATTTATTCCCTATATTTGTATATTATTAAAAAAAAAAAAAACATGTTGGATTTAAATTCAATAATTAATTGAGGTTTTCAATGTTAATAATACAAATTAAGATAATTAATTAAAAAAGGGTCAAATGGAATCAAGCTATATTATTTAATAAAGTATATATTAAATAAATAAAATTTAATTTTAACTTTAATTTGTTTATTTTTGTTTTTTTAAATATTGATTTTAGTCACTAAAATTTAAATTAATAATCTTTTTATTGACTTTTAAAAAAATAAAATAATTTCTTTTTTACTTTTTACTCATTTTTATTCTAACAGAAGATCGTATGATCTCTTAATAACTACAATCGGTCCGTTAGATCGACTAGAAATGTATATTATCTGAAAAATCAATTAAGTCAGATATACGTTCACAAATGATCGTATAGAGCAATATATTAGCATTTTAAATGTGTCGGTTGATTAACTGACTTACTTACAGTGTAGTTTATAAATAATTCTCGTGGAATATGATGTACGAGAAACCGTTCAATCGACTGACTCCCTTGAGATTAGATCATTTATTTTAATTTTTTTTTAAAATAAATAAAATAATAAAGGTAACATATATAGTGTGTTCTTTTCTCTTGAAATTTTAAAAGAAAAGGAAAAAGAAAAAGAAAAAGAAAAAGAAAAAGGATTAGTGGAAATTCTATTTGAATTTTATTTGATATTTTGAATGTTTATTTGGTTTACTTTTTTTTTCTCTAAAATTTTAAATTTATACTCTTAAAAAATAATAATAATAATATATTTTTTTTTTTTAAGATTAAACACTAAATTAAGCCATTATTGAAAAGAATATATAATTTAATAGTTTATATATGTACTCGGG